GCGGTGATCGCCCCATGGTACAACGACGCCGCCACGAACGAGGGGGGCACGGTCGGTACCTTCACGGACCAGTTCCCGGTCGACGAGGGTAACTTCCACATCCGCGCTCGCTCGAAGCTTTGGGTGAACCCTCTTATGTTCGTTCGGCAAGAGGCTCTGGCTCACCGTTCGCACGATGAGGGGACGGAGCTCACTGCTCAGCGTGGTCCGCCAGCTCTCATGGAAGAGGCGGCTCGACATGCCGTTCGGCAGCTGGGATCTTCGACTACTTCGGCTCTGACGAATATGCCGACGTCTGCTCAGCAGACCTATGATCAACGAGTATCGGTGATCACCCCGGTGCTTGAGGGCGAGGAGCCGCCGACCGATCGGGTCGGAGAGTACATCGAGGAGGCAAGAGATCGCTTGAGGGCAGACATGCGCTTCTCGCGCACGTCGGCGGCGATTACCCCGCAGGTTTTCACGGATGTCCTTCGCGATCGTGAAGATGCGGATTTCCAGAGCTACCGTTCGGGTGGAGGAGACGGGGCCAGAGCTCCCGGCGAGCAGCTCGACTCCTACGGCGGCTCCGCAGTCTTTCTCCCCTGCCTATCTGCCTGCTCGCAGCATCACCGGGCCGTACCAGATGGCCAGCTCGGGGCGAGAGGGCGAGGAGTGAAAGCGCTCGACGCATCCTCTCCGGATGTTTTGCGCTTTGCTCGCGAAAGAGCTTGGCGCCGGCTCCGGCCGTAACATAAGCTGGCGGATCAGCCGCGCTTCTTCCGCGGAACAAATATGCCGAGCGATCCCTCGGTGCGCTAGATCCGTGCGCTGTTCCGCATGTCTCAGTGAGTGTTGATCAGCATGTCCTGGCTCAGGCACGGCGCTCGGGTGCCATTAGCAGGCCTGTGCGGTCGCACTCGCAGCTGTTCAGCCCGAGATGGACAGGTCAGTTAGGAAGATCCTTTCTTTGCCTTTGTTCGGGGATGACTTCTGCCAATGGTTGGTCGATCTTCGGATGGCTCAGTTCGAGAAGCTCTGTGCTGTTTCAGACGGGACGATCGCTGAGTGTGTCCAAGCGTTCGTAAGTCTGGTGCCTGCGCTCGAGGCTCTCCACTCGCCATCGGAGCGGAAGACGGAGGAAGAGCTCAGCAGGTGGGTTCCGACTATTGAGATCCTCTTCGCTCTCGTTCGCAGCACGGCTAAAAACGGTTGGGCTGATCTGGCCACCGATCTTGGTTTCGGTCTGGCCGAGACGACAGTGGCGACGGTCCGCTCTCCTCTCAGATCAAAGAGGGGATCCGATGAACCGCCTTTGCCTCTGCCGCTCGCAAAGCGGCCCAGGACGATCGAGCCTCGAGCAGAAGACGCTCAGGTGTCGCTGAAGGCTCGCGAGCTCGGCGAGGCACGAAAGTGGGGCATGAGGCTCGGGGCGATCGTCGAGCGGTGCGGCGAGCATGCCGCGATCGCTGGAGGTCCGAAACCTGGTTCCTTGCTCTCGCAAGACGAGCTGAATGCACTGCGCTCGATCGTGTTCGAGAGTGGCGGGTTCAGGCAGGTGCTCCGCCCCGCAAGGACAAAAGCCGCGAGCCCAAGCCGCATCGCAAAGGCACGCCGCGTCAAGTTCGTCCTGGGGCAGCCTCCGATACCGGAGACGCCGGAGGACACAGCCCCGCCGGGCCCTGCATCGCACCACAAGCCAACTCGGAGTTACCGACGAGGAGTCTGATGCCACGGCATCTTCCAGCACAGCACCGTAGGCGGCTGCGCCCCGCCCAGCCACCCCACCCCGCACTGCCACGCCACGCCAGCACCGCACAGCACAGCATCGCCCGGACCCGCGCCGGCCGGCAAAGGGCCGCAACAGGGCACCGTCACAGGACCCCTGGTCCTTTTACAAAGGCTATGGAAAGGGCCCGGCATGGTTCGCCACCAATCGGCCCCGCCATGCACAGCCCCGCCCCTGCCCCTGCACCACCCAGCGATCCCCCCGCACCGCCCGGCACCTCCCAGCGCCTGGGTTTTGACGGGGCTGAAGTGGTACAGCCCCAAAGACGGGCCCAGGACAGACTGCCGAATGGCAGGGTCTGTTGCGCGGTCCTGCGACGCACCGCGCTGCAAATTTGGGAGGAGGCCTTGTGCAACAAGCCCCTCAAAGCAGTGTGGACCGAAGATGTCCACCTGCTGCATCGTTGTAGCAAATGCAAGGAGCTCGAGGAGCTTGGCGAGCTGAGCGACTAGCTCTGCATTGCATAGCCCGGCTTAGCACAGCGCTGCTTAGCCCATGTTACGCTTCAACCCTCCCATACCCACTATAAACGTAATTGCTTAACATTGCACCGCATGCATTGCACAGCAGTCTTCGCACAGCTGCCTCTTTCAGCTTGTCGCAGTCGCTTGGACGCGACCTGCTGCGGCGCAGCATCTCACCGCATGCCTTGCCGCTTGGGCTTCGCATCGCAATAAAAGCTCGAAGGGCACCGCCGGCTCTGCATAAGTACCACTTTACATGATTCTGCTTTGCATTTTTTCTTCATATGACCAGGACTGTACGCCAGTGGTCTCTAGGCCTTGAGCTCAGCCTTTCTTCTTGCAGCTCAGCCTTTGCGCTGCAATGCCCTGACAGGTGCTCTCTCGCACAAGGCCTGTGGTCGCAAGCCCAGCCCTGCACTTCGCGAGCTAGGCACTCTTGCTTCGCCAGGCCGTCTTTTCGTTGAGTGCACTGCAGCGCGCTCTCGTAGGTGAACTCCTGCCTCGCGCGCATGCTCTGCACACTCTCCCTATAGGCACTCTCGGCTGGGAGCGCACGCACCGCACACGCACGCCTCCGCAGCCTTTTTCATGCTCAAGCACTGGTGCTGCCCTCAAGCATGAGGCGCAGGTGGACATCGTTGAGGGAAGCCTCCTCGGTTTTTGACATAGACACCGCACGATCCAACAGTGCGTTCGTCACTGGGAACGCCTTGAGACATGGGCGAAGTCACAGAACATCAAGGCGATCCCCTTGACCACGGAGGTGCTGGTGAAGTACTTGCTGAACCTTTCCGATCGTGGATGTGGGCCCACGGTGATTCCCTCGGTCCGAGGGGCCGTGAAGTGGATTTGCAAGAGGATCGGGATGCAGGGGCCAGATCTCCTCGACGCTCGCATTCTGGCTCTGCAGAAGAGAGTCTACAGCGATCGTGGGAAAGAGACTCGTGAAGCAGTCCCCATCCCGCTGGTCCTTGTAGCTGCGCTCGAGAGATTCGTGTGTGCTAGGTTCCGATCGAACCAGTTCGTGATGGCGTTCTTCGCATGGTGGATCTGGATCATGATCTACTCGTCTTTGCGCTTTGACGACGCGATGCACGTCGTTCCCGAGGCGCTCGCCATGAAGGACGAGGCGCTCTGCGGGGTGGTGTGGCAGACCAAGGTCGAGAGACAGAAGAAAGGGACGCGGTTCGCGGCGGCCAAGGTCTCGGTCTCAGGCGAAGAATGGATGGAAGACGGATGGAATGCTGCCGCGTTCGAGATGGACGATCGGGACTATTTCATG